CCAGCCACCCACTCCACAACACACTGAGCCAGGTTTAAGCAGCCCTGGCCCCCTTGGCAGGCTGACCCCCCGGCCCTCCTGCATGGGAATGCAGTGTCTGTGAACAATAAGCTGGTGCAAACTGCACCCAAGTGTATTTAAGTGTGTTAATTTCACATATAGACATGTCCAAGAGGTCCAAAAGAACAGGTCACCTAGAGAGGATAGTCTTTAATTACAAGCTAGCAATACAGTATTAGAATTCACAGGAAAACATTTTTAAAGGTTGTTTTAAGCCATTGAAGCAACTGCACACATTTGACTACCATTGTAGGTCCAACAATAACTATTCCTATGCAGTTTAATTTTACAAGGTCTTCATACTCATCAAGCCAGTTGACAGCTGGCTGTTGTATGGTATTGGCAGGTTTCAGTCCTTGTGACTCTGCATGGTGAATAGCTCCAATGACCACGACATGCTCTTTTCCATGCCTGTGCTGCAGTGCAGGGTTCTTCATCCATCTATATAGCCTTCACTCTAGAAGTAGCCATAAGCCTCTGTAACATTAAGGAGCTAAAGAGTTCCTCAGTGGAATATCCTACTGCCAGATGCAGGAAACCCTATCTTTTAATTCTACATCTGATCCTGGAAGATTCTAAGAACTAATCACAATCTGACCCCAAATTAGTTCACCCAAAGAGAAACTAAATAAACTCAACAATGATCTAAAATGGAGCAAATATATGGCAAATCAGAAAAAAGGTCACAGTCTACCCTAACAAGTATCAATACAATTTTATAAAAGTATGATGTAAGGACTGAATACAATATAAACATACATAAGTCTTTTATATATAGATTCCAAGTAGTTGTTTTATAGCAACTATAGCAGAATCTCTGCACTGACCTCTTTTCAGTCTGGCATTAGAGTTATGAACTAGGGACAGACATTCAAAAAGCCCGAGTCTCAACTGATTTAATCTTTGCAGGTTAGTGTAACCTGCAGAGAGTGAACCAATTTGCAAGTAGAGAGACATTCACTTTTGGTTCAGGAAATGCAGGCACAAGCCTGCAGTGGCTAAGGTTAGAAGCCAGGGGGCACTATCAGCCCATCAAGAAAACAGAAAACAGCTTTTCCTAGCACATTTGTAAAGAATGGAGGGCCATTACCAGGGGTGGGGCAGGGGGAAGCCAAGCAGACACTGCTGTGCCTGCAGCCTCCACCTCCTTCTCAGACACCCAGAGCTAGGGAGGAAAGAGGCATGGCCAGCTGTGCTCTCTGGAGCAGACAGCCCAGCCCATGGCTGAAAAGCATGCTGGGATGCTGGAGAATTCTGATTTAACTTAAACCAGGAAGAGGTCTGGGACACAAGTTCCACTGTTTTGACACAAATCAGTTAAGTCTGATACTACATTCAGCCAAGTTTATCTTAAACCAGTTTTGGCCATTTTGAAACTAGTTTATGTGCACTGAACTTATGTTCTGTTACAGGTTTAAACCAGTTCCTGATCACTTAAACTGGTTTATGTGCAACTTCTGTCCCAAGGCATAAAGACTGCATAAAGCCATAAAGGTCTTGTTGTTGCCATAGGGAAGATAGGTGCTCACACCAGTTCTACATTTTTCAACAACCCATCACTACAGACTAATGCAGACTCTGCTCCTTACATTCTAAGAGCATCCTGTTGTTAGTTTCCATAAGTTTACCATTTCTGATATCCTATTCAGAGTGGTACAGCAGGATTATATTCAGGGTTATACATCTTAAAGTTTAACATGTTTGTGAGTTCACTGAGTCCAGGTACAGACCTTACACTTTTATAAGTTATTGGAAACCGGTCTATACCTGTAGCAGAACAGAAGTCCAGCAAACATAGACTATTTAAAAATGGTGGAATCCGATCTAAGGTTTGCTTTACACACCAAAGGGTGAATGTGTGTTCTGTGTGCTACCGAACTAAATTACCCAACTTATGAAAACTGTGGAATTTAAATCAATTCCACCTTGGAATTTTTGCATGTGTGTACCTAGCCTAAAAGAGCAGGAGACAATGTGTTTCATGCTCACTGGAAATTTAGCAATATAAGCTAACTTTAAACTGAAGAGCTTATATTGCTAAATTTCCAGCGAGCATGAAAGAGCCAAGATAACAAGCCAGATCTTCTGGACTGTGCAAAAGTGCTTTTGCAGTCTGGTCTTCAACCCACATCACCAGGTAGAGGAGGGATATCACTTGGCACAGAGAAGACATAAGGACATTTTTGAACCCTGCCAATTTGTGACAAGCATTATCTTTTTTTTTGCCATTGGCTCTATTTGCAGCTAGTACAAGTTAAGCAGCCTGAGAAATTCTCTTAAACAGCTAAAGTGGGCTGGCACTGTAGAGAGCTGCAGCACAATCAGGTATTTGGAAAGCAGAGCTCTGAGATTCATCTAAACATTTAGTGTGTTCAAATCTAGATTTTTTTGTCTGGTTCCCTTAGATTAGAGGATGGATCAGGCTTTGGATTCTGACTGTCTAAACATGTGCATGCATACACATACACACATCATAGCTCTTTACTGGAGTTCAGAGATGGCTCTGAAAGGGAGTTCAGAGTTTTTCCCAGCTCATCTCTAATTATGGCAAATTCCCACTGGCTAATTATTTTTTTTTCATACCCAGGTTGCATACCCTCATGAACTAAAGGTCAGAACAATGCCATTTTTATCAGTTTTGTTTAAATAGGATGCTTATATACATCTATAAGTACATAAGAAGCAAAAGAACAGTGGGAAAAATATTATTTTAATGCTATTTTAAAGAATATAATTTAGGCCCCAGGAGCCTAAATCAACATGAAATTTGTTGGGGGGGGGGGGGGGGGT